TACATGTAGCCTGTATTTCACTAGGTCTGGATTTATGCAAAAACTTTGGCAAAACATAAATAGAAAATAAAAAAAATTTAACAATTTCTGCTTTTTATTTACAAGTTTGCTTTAGTGATAAAGCGCTGCAGAAATAGGCGAGGAACATGTTTGGGTCCTTGTGTGCGTATGAGTGTGTGTATGTGTGTGATATAAGCTTTGTACTTAAACCTAAGAATATTAGATGTTAAGCTTATGCTCGCTTAAGGTATTCATTGAAGCAGCATTAACTACAACTTTTAATTTTTCATTCCTAATGTCAAGTTTGACATTGAGTTTAACATGTTAATTAAGACTTTTTAAGAGTTTTCTCTTCAATAACTTTCGTTAAAATTTCCATATTTAATATTTTATTGAAAGTAAAAAAAGCTAATGTCAAATTTAACTACTTGTTAAAAATATTCTAAAAAATATAAATATTTTTGAAAGAAATAAATTAAAATTAGACACACTTGAGTGAACATTTAGTAGATCGAATTGACATAGAGTGTAACATGTCGATAAAATAATCATAGAAATCAAAAATACAATTAACATATGGTTCAATAAGATAAGTATAAATCTTGACTTTTAAATTTGTCTTACATTTAGCACATTTATAATATAAAAATTTCCGAAAAGATCAAAGTTGACATTCAGTTTAACATATGCATTAAGTACTTTACATTGAATTTTATGTTCTAATTTCCCTCTCTACTTGGCATTCATCAAGCAGAGTATACAATTTAAATTTTATACCACTGATAAATTTAACCTCATGTTAAACATGCAAACTGTTATCAGTTGTATACACAACATTTCAATGCCAATGAATAGTTTCAGTTAAGCAAGAGAAATAGTCTCAAATAAATTGAACAGCAATCGTATTAGTACACAAAAACACACTTTACACACGCACACACGCCCATTAAACCTTATGCTGACCCCAATTGCAAAAAAAAAATAACAGAAATAAGTCGAAAATCCTTTTATACAGTGTAAACGTCTTGGCATGGAGTATTTTACATTGCTTAGATGTATGGAGAGGAGTAGCAGTACTCGAACTCGCAACTCCTATTCGTATTTATAGTTCCTTTTTCTGGGTGCACGTGTTTGGAATTTCAATTGAAAATTATTTACAAAAGCCTTTCCGGGGGCTTCCACAATTGTTTTTTGAAGGGGGCAGCATAAACTGTTGCTGTTTGACCTTTTTTTTTTGTGTGCATAAAAGATGGGAAAAAATCAATGAACGCACACACACGCATAGCTCTAATACCTAAATACATATAGGGCTCTATGTGCTCGAAGGCACACTTCTCAATTATTAAACAAAGGCAGACTGACCGTAGGCCGGCTTAAAGATAGAATACCCACAGCTGCTGGATAATATAATACAATAATTAGGTAATTAATCATATAATGCACACAACAACACTCCGGGCGGGTCATTAAGTCGAATGAGCTCGGCTTCCCCGAGCACCCCGCACCCAGATCCCCGACAGGCAACACAAATTGCTAATTAAAGATAAACAAAACACTTTAAAGCGCAACAATACGTCTACGTTTGCCCGCGGCACATTATGAAAATTGAAAAGAAAATATTTAATTATAAACAAGTGGACCAAGTGGAAACTGAAAAAGTTTACCTGTTGTACACACAAAAACACATTAGATGATAAAGACGACAGGCAGTGTGAGCGAAACTTCTTCGGAAAACTTCCCAGCAAGCTAATGCTATTTATTATGATATTTAGCAAGCACGGCTTGCCGCTTTCATATTTATATACATATATATATACATATATGCACACACATACATATATTCTTACATGCATTTCAGCTAAGCGAAGCTTCTGTTCAAAAAAGTTTGAAGGGAACAACTTTTGATATAACTTGAACAAAACTTGCATAGAGAAATTTGCAAAATATGATTTGAACAGAAATTTTCTGTAATCAAATTTGTAAAGTCGATTTATTTTCAAGTGATTTTAAGCATATATTTTGGAAAGATTTTCGTTTTCAAAATAGAAATAGTATAGCTTTTGTCGTATATTTAAATATCACTTCGACTAAACAAACTTAAATGATGTTTCGAAAATAATAGAATTTCTAAATATAGCATTTAACAGGAAATCTAAAAATATATATAAAAAATATTTATAAAGTAAAAAAATATATATATAAAATATTGGGAAACCATATCAGGCTTCTTCAATGATAAGACTTTAATATTTCACAATAAATATATTTAAAACAAATTTGTATCTTTTAAACATTTAGCCAAGAATTTTAATTATAATTTATTTGATGATTATAAGATTGGAATTAGTAGGAAATCTTATTTTGTACTGCATTTGAAGTCATTAAAAAAGGCTGAAGTCACCAACTATAAGCGTAAGTTATGTGCTCGTAAATCATAAAGCAAACACTCAAACTTATTTTTTCACTTGAACTAATTTATATCAATTTATTTATAAATATATATATCTATATTTATTTTTAAAAAATATATGAAATTATTATTAATATTATTTATAATTTTTTGTAATATTTAAAAATATAAACAAATCGTTTAACGCTTAGAATAATTTTCAAATATTTACTTTAAAGCGCTTAAAGCTCAACGAAATGATTTACAAAGAAAATCTGCTTCAATTATGCTACAAAATTCAAATAAAATCAAATACAGCCAAGCAAAAAAAAAAAAACGAAATCAAATAGAAAGTAAAAGTGGCCAGCATATACATATATATATATATATAGCGGCTAGGCTGGCAATTTAAAACTCATCAATTCACCTAAAAGCCGCGCTCCAAAAACAATTGAGCTATAAATGTTTGTTTACTTAAGGCGACAAAACGACAAAATAAAAGTTTGGAGGGAAGCAAAAAAAAGTATACAAAAAAACAGAAAGCACAAAATAAATATTAAGATAAAGCAAGACCACAGAGAAAATTGCAGGCAGAGCCCTGAAAAAACCATTTACTGCTGCGTTTTTCTTATTTATGCTCGCATTTTGCGTAAAAAGTTAATAATTGAAATAAAATACGGAGAAAAAAATAAAAATAAGAAAAAAAGTAGTCAAAAAAGAACAATAGAAATTTTATAGCTTGACGCGCTGCGTAATGCGCATGGGAAATGCCCCGCCCAAATCAAAGTATCAATGAAAAGCTATCCCTACCCGCATACACGCACACAAGCACCAATACATATCTATATATATGTGTATATATGGTAGGTATATAAATATAATATGCCGTATGCCCCCGGCGGAGTTGTAGCAAAAATTTAATCAAGCTTTGGCCAGGCGCACAAATAATTTTCGCAAATTCGTTTACGGCATTTTCTTTTGCAGCCTCCGTCCATTTTTCTGTTTGGCCGCTTCTCGAACCACCCCCCTCGACCCCTCGGGTAATGGACATGCAAAACGCTTTTTAATCCCAGCAAAAAGGGAAAGCTGGACAAACGCATTGGCCAATTTGCGTCCGAGTAGAAAAACTGTTACTGAACACCGCAGGCTGAGCGCAGAAGACAGCAGGCAGCAGGCAGCAGGCTGTCAATGCCGCAGGATGCGCATAAACTGACAACGTCGCAGTGCGAAGTCTATACAGTATATAAACCTATCTATATATATGAAAGGAAAATTATATATTTGATTATTTAAGTATGCGCTGATGCAATCAGGACATTCTTGACAGCTATAATCGAATGCTGTTCAACTTGAACCAATTGCTGCTGCTGCTGCAGCATAGTTGTTAAATTTTTATATTTATCATTATCGCTTATCGATTATTAAGTTGTTTTGGTGGCATAATAAGGTTGTATTTAACACGAAAACAAATGAGAGCGGTCATCTATAAATGTTTATAAAAATTGCTATTAAACGATTAATTCGATAGTTTCTCTCTTTAACATAACAAATCAATTTATCAGAATATACTTCACTATCGATATTTATCAATCTAAAATCGATCATTTTCTTATACTATCGAAACTCTTATTTCTTTTATTTTTACTTTTATTCCCACTTTTTCATTACATTCTCGATTTTCTTATTTCTTTGGCTATTTTTTTCTATTTTAATTCATTCTTATCTCATCTTATATTAAGCTAATAATTTCTATTGTTAGTTATATCATGAAACTGCATTATTGCCACTACAATTTCAGATGTGGCTAGCTTCGTTTTTAAACGGTTCGCTGCATCATTTTGTTGAAACTATTCGCATTATTATTGTAGCTTCTTTTCGGGTTTTCCGCATTTTCCTTTTACAACTTTTCTATTTACGTATTTCCGTATTTTATTATATTTTATTTTGCTGGCAGCGCTCTGCTGCTCTGCTTTCAATAACTGTGAATAAAATGAATAGATGGCACCCATTGGCAAAATCTCATTGCCCCGAAAATGCTTGGGGCAGGACGACGCACAAACGACCCACTAAGGCGTTTTTGTGTTCCCAATGCGGTTTATTAAAAATAATATGCATTTTATATGGCTATATGAATTTTTATCAACAAAAAAAAATTAAAATAAAAATATATAAACATTTTATAAGAATTTAGTTTAGCTCAAAATTTAACAAACTTTTCCAGCTGGCAGCCAAAGGCTGTTGGCCAAATGTCAGCTGAAAGTGGACGGCTTGCAGTTTTGTCGAAAATCCACACAAACACACTCGAACTCGCTATCCCTCTCTCGCTCTCTCTCTCTCTCTCTCTCTCTTTCGCATTCGAACGCGAACAGCTTTTCATTTGGTTTGGGGTTTTTCTCGCTTCTGTTTTTCTCATATTGCGCATTTGCATTTGTATCTGAATCCAGGGCAGCTCAAAGATTTATTTGTCAGATACGCTTTGGCTTGATTTATGAAGGTGTGAGTGCGTGTGTGTGTATGTTTGTATGTGTGTGTGTATAGCAGGACACTGGGGAGCTAACGAGCCGAGTTCGCGACCCCCTGTTCACCCAAAACCCTGATAAGCTCAGCTGCCCGGCACTAAGCTGTCAAACTTCAGCTGTGTCTCAAGCTCCAACAACCAGAAATATGTTGGGATACAGTCAAAATTTGGAAATAGCAAACTGAAACTGAAGCCGCACGCTACGGTTGGAGCTTGAGGTGAGGGCCAGCATGTTGTCGAACAAACCGCCACCACCATTGAATCCGGATCAGCCGGTGCTGTACATCGAATGCTGTCGCGCTCACACAGACTATCGAAGACGCGCCAGTGAGCTGCACGCATCACTGGCGGAAGCACTGCGCGCTCTACAGCCGGACTTGGAGCTGCAACTGCGTGTCAACGAGAACAACGCGCCCCGCCTCGGCTCCTTTGAGGTGGCCATCGCCGCCACGCCCACCGAAGATGTCGAGTCGCGACAAGTACTATGGACTGGACTGCAGCGTGTCCCGGTCTCCGCAAAGGTGCCACACGTGGACGATATCATAGCACCCGCGTGCTTGGCCTTGAGACTGCGCCACAGTCAAGCAGGCGCCAGCCACGTTGACCTGGTCCGTTACAGCGACGGCGACATTAACAAGATATTGCAGAGGCGCAGCCTTTCGTAGCACAAATTTCAGTTTCAGTTTCCTATTTCACTTGTATTCAAATTTTAAGTGTAAAATTGCAGTGAATGAAAATTGTACATTAAAAATTTTCTTTTAGAAGTCAATATTCGTCTATTGATATTATCATTTGCAGTTAATATTAACTTTCTGTCATCGCTATGCACAATTTCCTGATTATACAAAACATTATTTAGCTATATTTGCTCTATATGCATACTCGACTTTATTCTGTTTGTATTTTGATGTATTCCATAATATTTTCCTCTCATACTTTGGCCTCTGTGCAACAATTTCTTGCTATTCATAAGTTATAAAGTTTTTCTTTGTGCGTTAAGTTTGCCAGGATCGACAAGAACTAGCTAGTCAGAGTGCTCGACTAGCAGATATTCTTTAAGCTGACTTGACAAAAGTCCAAGACTTTTACGTTAGAAATTATTTTCTTTTATATTTTAAGGGAAATAATTTAGAGCCGTTTTAAAAGTTAAATAGTTTGTGCTTCTTAATAAAAATAGAGATTGAAGTGAAGTGTAGATAAAGCAATTAAAATGTAAAAGTTATCGATGTTAAAGTTATCGAAATGAGCAAATATATCGATTGTATAGCATACAAAATATAAAATATAGAATATATAATATAGAATATAGAACATAGAATATAGAATATAGAATATAGAACATAGAATATAGAATATAGAATATAGAATATAGAATATAGAATATAGAATATAGAATATAGAATATAGAATATAGAATATAGAATATAGAATATAGAATATAGAATATAGAATATAGAATATAGAATATAGAATATAGAATATAGAATATAGAATATAGAATATAGAATATAGAATATAGAATATAGAATATAGAATATAGAATATATAATATAGAATATAGAATATAGAATATAGAATATAGAATATAGAATATAGAATATAGAATATAGAATATAGAATATAGAATATAGAATATAGAATATAGAATATAGAATATAGAATATAGAATATAGAATATAGAATATAGAATATAGAATATAGAATATAGAATATAGAATATAGAATAAAGAAGATAGAATATAGAATAAAGAATATAGAAATAGAATATAGAATATAGAATATAGAATATAGAATATAGAATATAGAATATAGAATATAGCCGATCGCCTCTCGCCTAAAGCCTATCGCCCCTAGCCTCTCGCCTCTCGCCTCTCGCCTCTCGCCTCTCGCCTCTCGAATATAGCCTCTCGCCTCTCGCCTCTCGCCTCTCGCCTCTCGCCTCTCGCCTCTCGCCTCTCGCCTCTCGCCTCTCGCCTCTCGCCTCTCGCCTCTCGCCTCTCGCCTCTCGCCTCGCCTATAGCCTCTCGCCTCTCGAATATAGAATATAGAATATAGAATATAGAATATAGATGAGAATGTATCTTTTTCTACCTATCAGTAAGAAATACAGACAAATATGACAACCAACACAAGGAGCTAAGTAGATGCAAACTTTATACTAAGTAGTTGGCATCATATTTTAACAATGATGTGTAATTGCCGGCAATAATAGTGCAAATTTTCAGAGCAGTTGTGAGCTGCCTGGTTATGGTCTGTGCCAGCAGCTGTTCCGCTCTGTTTTGTGAGGCAGGCGGCTGTTCATTTGCGCTCTTGACACAAAAAGCGCTGCGAGTGTAGCGGGGAGTGCGGCGTAGCGAAAGGTTTTGTTGCCGTTAAGACTTTTGCCTGGGACTGATAGCTGCAACCCAGCAGCCAGCCAGCAAGTTGAGTGCTGAAATTCAGCATCATTGCACACACACATATAGAGAGACAGTCCCCTGCATGTAGCACAATAAATCCCTTTTTAAAGCAAGTGGTGTATGTGAATATGTATGTGCATTGCATTTTGTTTGGCTAGCTTTGCTGCACGCTTCACGCTGGCTTGCTGCATGACTTAAGTTTTCAACACACGCAGACACTCACAGGCACACACATACGGCAGTCATTAAACCAACACATGCGCACTTGGCAACTTGTCAGGACGTGCTCTGTGCGTCCTTTAAGAATCCGGCTAGCTTGAAAGGCAGCATAAGTAGTAGAAAACGGCAGCATATTAATCTTCTCAACAACAACAACAACAAATGTATAAAACAATAGCTGAAGCAGCAGCAGCAGCCCGCTGCATTCTTTGCACTGGCTTTTCTGCCTTCCTTTTGCCTTGCCAGACGGAACACGATATTAAAGCCTTTCTGCCTGCTCTTGCCTTTGTATTTCATACAGTGTACGAACTGAAGTTCATTATAAATAAAATGGATCACGAGCCTGACTTTTTGATTTTTAAAGTCACTTTCAGACAGCTGCCCTTTGAGCTATGCTCGACGTGCTGCAAAAGATGTAGCTTTATGAATAAATGCGAAACTTAAGACTTGGGCTGACTATAAATCGATGCAGAATGTGAATCGATGAGGAATAGAGTGCTGTCTATCGCTACACATATTTTTAAAAAAAATTTTAGTAATAGAAATATGTCAACTTCATATAATTTTCCATCACAAACATGTATAATTTTTTCTACATCCGGAACTTTTGAAAACCCTTGCTATATAGAGTCAAGATTAATATGAATTAATTTAAATATTACAGGCTTTAATTTTATATTTTTATAGACTTATGAGAATTGCCTTGGCATTTTTAAACTGTATATATATACTGTATATATATACTTATATACAAATAAAATATCACACTCTGCGAAATGAATTCTATAAAACAAATATTTACCTTTTATTTATTAAATTGCAATCAAATTAAATATTTAAATATTTTTACTATGCACACAAATATATTTTAAAGGTCAGCTTAATTTTTTTGTAATTTTTAGAAATACATTAATATTTTTATAAAAATCCATTCATTTATTAATCATGTTACGTTTTATGTCATTTCCTTTTTATAATTTTTTTTTTTTTCATTTTGCCAAACACGCGTCATTTATATTTGCTGCTGCTGCGAATCTTTAACAAGATGGAAAAGGTTAGTGAAAAAAGTGCTCGACTGGAAGTTACTCTGCAAAAAGCCAACTGGAGCTCTTTCAAGGTTGGGCACAATATCGACTAAAAGTTATTAAAATATATAAATAAATATATATATGTTTAAGTCTTGAACTCATGGCTATATATGAAGAACATACAACCAATATTTGCGTTAAATTATATAATAAATAATATAATAAAATAGTAAAATATATAGATTTGGCAATTAAATTTAATTCTTTCTTGTTCAAGCAAAGCTTGGTAATAATCAACTTCTGATGGAAGCAATTGGTCAAATGACTGCATTAATCTAAGAATTACTTAGATATCCAAAAACTTGTTAACATTGTATGAAAGAAGATTCAGATTAAAACTTTGAGAATGTCAAAATTAATGCCACGAAAAAAAAACAGAAAAAAAGATGACAATTTTCAAGGAAACTTGAAGAAATAGTTTAAAATTATGAAAGAAAATTATGTAGGAATCTACTTTAATGCATATAACTATCTTATATATAGTAATATATAGAACTAGTTTTTCTTTGAATACAAATACTTCAATAGATAAATGCACTTCTTCATCAGGCTTACCCACAACTCATAATACCTCATAACTAATTCAATATCTAAGAGGTATTAAATAGATAGGTACACAAAAAAATAAGAAAAGGCTGCTGCATTTTATGCACATTTAATGCTGTTGGCGCACATTTTGACAAACCGAGTTCAGGATTCACAGTCACAGCGACGACTCGGCGTGTCTCTGGCTGCAGTGCTTTAGATGCACAGCGCCAACTGTCAGTCGCCTTAAGGACTTTGACGTTCATTTAGTCGACGCGTTGGCGCGCGCACTGTCAGCTGCCTGGCCGTCCTTTAAGCCAGTCTTTCTTTTTTTCTCTCTTAATAGATTTTATCATTTGACTTCCATTAGTCGGCATGGGATGGCGCGGCAAGGCTTGAAAATTTGCGACGCTTTCAAGTTGCTGAAAAATTCACTTTTCTGATTTATTTGCAAATTGGAACAAACAAAAAAACTATAGAAAAGACTAAAGCGGCAAATGGTTTTTTATTTATATTCAAAAGATTATTTTCCTTTGCTTTCAAATAATTTGCTGTCTCTCAGCGATTAGCAGTAAGGCGCACAGCTTAATATAAATATTTATCCCAGTCTCCCTGTTATTAGATTTTACTTTCAACTTCTCGTAAACAAATTCCTGCTGTATTTAGCTCAATTAAAACGTTTTAGTACCGTGCCTTGGCTTATCAATATTATAGCTACTGCGCGCTTTGCACGACAAATCCGTTTTGAAAAGTTAATTAAAAAATTTTGCTTTTGGCTGAAGTGGGCGCCAAATACATATTTTTTTCTATGTTTCATGCTGGCTATTGACAAATTCTCGAAGCTGAATTTCTAAAAAAAATAGTTTAAACAACAAACAAATCGTGGCTAGACGATACCCTGCAAATAGTTGTGTAGTTGAGAGTTAGTTAAAGTGTAAATAAAATGCTTATATAATAAGATGAGCAGAATCGATATTTATCGATTTAAGAGGTAGCTGCCATATGCTCAATATACGTGGAGTTGATAGCTAGATGCTCAATTTGTGTAAGGAAACTATGCTTGAAATTTAAGGAAATACGAGTCAAGCCGAATCGATACTTATCGATTTTAGAGTTAGTTGCCATATGCTGGATATGTGTGCAGTTGGGAGTTAAATTCAAAGTTTGTTCATGAAATACATGCTTGAGCTGTAAAGAAATACTTTAAGCAGTATCGATACTTATCGATTTTTACATATAAATTGTTACATATAATTTGAGCTTGTAATAAGCTCAATTTGCATACCAAAAGTTAGCAAAACTACACATTTTTAGATACACCAAGCTTAGTCTCTCCCCAAAGACCTTTTTCAGCACTCACATCAAACGAATATGCCCTCCTTTGAGGCATATTTCCATACACAGCATAACAATTTATAAAAAAGCCATGCATTTTATGATTTTTTTTATCACAGTTCGATCGACTAATT